ATTAAATTATTCATGTAATCATTTTATCACCATTCAACTGGTTTTCTGTTATCCTAGCTCTAAAATAAGCTAGTACAAGATACTTGAGAAAGGTGTGAATCCTACTCAATGGATAATATGGCAGTAACATGCTTCCAGGAGAGGCTCCTTCCTAGCACCAAGCAACTGGAAGTTCATGCCCTGTAGAATGTCCTTTAAGTGTCTTATTTTTTTAAGTCTTAACTTGACTGTGACTGCAGATAGAGTGCCTTTTTATAAACCCTACCAAGAAATTTGTTTCAAAAATATATTGTGGCAGTGAATTCCACAGGTTAATTTATTTGTTTTACATGTTACCATATAATTTCATTGTGTATCTCATTTCTATTTCACAAGAGGGATAATAGGAGCACCCACCTGACCTTTGCTATATTATCAATTATTTTACACACACCACCTTCTATTCGTCTTTTCTGTAAGCTAGACATCCTTCTCTTTTAAGTCTCTCCCCTTCCATGCATCTTATAACTTTCCTTGCCCTCCTCGGGACCTTTTCTTTGTCATCTATATCTGAGATGGACGTAGCATACACTGATATTAAAGTACTTACACAACAGTATTTCTCTGTATCTTACCGCAACCTCATCGCTTATATGCTTGTTTTGCCTACTGTCCACACTGATACCGAAGTCTTTTGCTTGAGCGGCTACAGTATTTTAGACTCCAGCCTCATGTAAGAGTAGCCCAAGGCTGACTCTGGCTGGCACGTACCCCCTTTTCTTGCCGCGCGTGTGCACTTCCCCTTGCTGCAGGGAGCGCTCACCCCGCGTGTTAGCGGCTCCAAGACACGCGTGTACGGGCGGCCAAGCGTACGGAGGGGAGTGTTCCTGAAGTTATGCGGGCGATTTGTCGGCGTCTCGCTGAGCAGTCGCAGCAACCCCCTGGTAGCAGCTGGGCGAGGCTCAGACGCTGCCTCACAACACCCGCGTCTTTGAAGGGAGGCGCCCCAAGTCACGGAGGCGCGCTGACAAGCGCCCGGGCAGGCAGCGGCTCCTGCCGTCAGCCGGGACGGTGAGGGACTCTCCCCCCTGAGCCCAGCTGGGGCTCGGCAGCGCCCTGCTGTGCTACGGCAGCTGCGCGGGGCTTCAGCGCAGCAGCCCGAAGTTTGTCCTCCTCTGCGGGAGGCTGCGCCCCCTTGCCAGCCCCACCCAGCCCGGGAGCCGCAGCCCCACCGCGGCCAGTCTGCGGCTCTGTCTGCCCACGTATCGCGGGACTTGTGCGCACCGCTCCCGCCAGCCGCGGGAGCCGATTGGGTGCCCGCCCGCACAGCCCTTGGGAGGAGGGGGCTAGTGACGTGCAGGCCCCAGCCCCGTGCGTGCAACCCCCCCCCCAGGGTGCCGGGTCTGGAATCGTTCGCTGCGCTGACACGCGCGGGGGGAGGGAGCTGGTGACGTAAAGGTGCCAGCCCCGTGCGAGCCCGCGGCTGCTGCGATAGGTGGAGCGGGGCGGGGGCGTGGCCGAGCCGCCGCCGCCGCCGCGGTGGCTCAGCCAGAGGTGACAGTGCGCCAGGCGCGCTCCCCTCACCTCTGCTGCCTCCCGCGCCCGCCTCCAGCCCGGGGCTGCGAGATGGAGACGCCTCTTCTGGACGAGGAGAGGCCGGAGCGAGGCTCGGCCCCGGGGGGCGTGTGAAGCCCTCGCTCCCCGCCGAGCGGAGTCCAGGTGAGCCCTGGCGCCAGCGCGGGGTGCCCCCGCTCAGCGGGCGGTGGTAGTGGGGGCGCCCCGCAGCCGCGGTGCGGTGAGTAGAGGGCTGCCCCGGCGGCTCTGGGTGCTCCCAACTTTCTGCCGGGGGTTGCCGTCCGGCTGGGCGCCCCTGGCTGCGGGAGGAAGGTGCCGTGGCCGTAGCTCCTGGCGGAGGCTGAACTGATGCTACAGGGCGGTTTGCGGAGCCTCAAAGCCAAGCGGCGGCAGCCGCAACTTTCTCTTGGGTTTGTGCCGCCTGGCCGGGGGAGGAAGGCGGCAGTGCTGAGCGGTGGTATCTGGCGGCATCGGGTTGCTTAGAGGCTGCCTGGAGGGGTGGAGCGGCGTCCCCCGGCGCCCGGAGGAGCATGGCAGAGGGCATCTTCTTTCCCAGGTGCACGGCGGGCTGCGCTGTCTGGCCGCCGGCGGAGAAAGTCTTCCCGCGAATGCTGCGGGAGGTGCGCCGCTGCCTGACAAGGAGATGGGGCATCTTCCTTCCCAGCCACCCTCAGCACAACTGTAGGGGATGGGATGGGGAGAGTTGCAGCCTAAGAAGGGGATTGAGGTGTGGAATTAGGCGTCTTTATCCCCAGGGACATTTATTACCGCTGCCTGGCAGAGAGAGGGGGCGTCTTTCTTGCTTAGCTCCTTGATGCACTAAGTAATCCTGATGGGATTGGGGTTTTATGTCTGTACATGCCGCTGAAATCTGCTCCTTGGCTGTAGTAGTTTGTGGGCTATAGAGAAGGGTAGAAGAGGGGGCTCAGGAGAGACTTGTTTGCTCCTATCTTCACTGAGATGCTGCTGCTGTGGTGGAGGAATTTCGGACTCCATAGAGAACCTGTCCTGAGTTTTCTGATTATGATAATTATTGCAGTTATTTGCTGAACAAAACAAATACATGGCAAAAAAGATGCAGAAACTCAGAAGTCGATTGTTGTCCTGGTATACCTACTTCCTGACACCTTTTATTTTTCTGTGTTCAACTTTCATTCTTTTAAATATTTAATGTAAAGACGTCTGCCTTTTTGCTGTTCGCTGTGCAGCATTTGTACAGTGTGGGGCTGAAACTCCAACAATTTGGGCAGATTTCCTGCTGTGTGGAAAGAGAAGGGTGAGAGTGCAATAGAAGTCAGAGTCAGGAAACAAACTTGTATGTAAGGTATCATAGAAATAATTGAAATATAGGGTGAGGGGAGGGATCTTGAGAGGTCATTTAGTCCATCGCCACGTACTGAGGCAGGAACAAGTACCATCCCTGATAGGTGTTTGTCTAACATATTCTTAAAAATCTCCGAAGATGGGGCTTCCACAATGTTTCTTTATAACCTATTCCAGTGCTTCACTATCCTTGTAATTAGAAGGCTTTTCCTAGTATGTAACCTTTCTGCAGATTAAGTCAATTATTTCTTGTCCTACCTTCAGTGAACATGGAGAACATTGATCACTGTCATCTTTATAACAGCTCTTAACATATTTGAAGACTGTTATCTGGTCCGCCCTCAGTTCTCTTTTCTCAAGACTAAACCTGTCCAGATCTATTACTTTTTCCTATTAGGTCAAGTTTCCTAAATCTTTCATAATTTTTGTGCTCTCCTCTGGACTCTCTCCAGTTTGTCTACATCTTTCTTAAAGAGTGTAGCCCAAAACTGGACACAGAACTCCAGCTGAGGCCTCACCAATGCCAAGTAGAGCAGAATAGTTATTTCCTGGGGTTTACATATGACATTACTGTTAATATACCTCAGAAAGATATTTGCCTTTTTCACAACTGCATCATATTGTTGACTCATTCAATTGGTGATTTGCTATAATCCCTGGGTCCTCTTCTGCAGTACTGTCCAGCCAGTTATTTCCCATTTTATAGTTGTGCATTTGATTTTTTTTCTTACTAAGTGTAGCTTTGCGCTTGTGGTCATTGAATTTCCTCTTGTTGATTTCAGATCAATTATCCAGTTTATTAAGGTCATTTTGAATTCTCATCCTGTCCTCCAAAATGTTTGCAGCAACCTCTCCAGCTTGGTATCATCCACAAATTTTATAAGCATATTCTCTGTCTCCAGGAAGACCCCTGTGGGACCCCACTAGATAAGTCCTCTAAGTTTGACAATGAACCATTGATAATTACTCTTTGAATAAGGTTTTTCAACCAGTTGTGCACCCACTGTATAGTAGTTTCATTTAGACTTCATTTCCCTAGTTTTCTTATGAGAAGGTCATGTCAGATTATGCCTTACTGCAAAGCTTTACTAAAATCAAGATATATCACAACTACTGCTTCCCCCAATGAACTAGGCCAGTAACTGTCAAAGAAGGCAATTAGGATGGTTTGGCATGATTTGTTCTTGACAAATCAATGTTGGCTATTCCTTAACCCTATTATCCTCTAGGTGTTTATAAATTGATTTGAACAGTATCTTTCCAGGAATTGAAGTTAGGCTGACTGATCTGTATTCCCTGTGTCTTCCTTTGACCCCTTTTTGTACATTGTACTTAGTTTGCCCTTTGCTAGTCATTTGGGACCTCACATTGTTTCTCCCTGGGAAATAATCTTGCCCATGCTCAACTTGTTCTGAAACTCTTTATGCTGAAGCAAATACTGGACAGAACATTAATACTCTGTTTAAATTATTTTTAGTTCAACTATGTATTTGCACAAGTGCCATTTAATTTTTCAATAGTGGTAAATTGACACTTGTATAACTTGCCCTCAAAATATTAATGGTATCCACAGTCCTAAAGATATTAAAAATGTAAAGCAGGTGAGATACTCCTGTGCCAAGTTAGTAGACAATAAGAGACTACCTTAGTGAGTTGCTGGGAATATAATATATGGCAAGACATTTGCAAGAACTGATCATCTGCCATATTACTTTGCTGAAAGTGTAATATCTACCTCGTTGTGGCATTTGGGGTTTGCGATATTCGTGCATGCAGGGGAAAACCTTTTTTGTGTGTGAGAGTTCTAAAAGTGTACTGACTTCATACTGACCAATTGTTTCACTTGATGACCGCAACATTGGGAAGAAGGAACCATTTGGATTAAGACTGAGAACTGGGAATGAAGCAAGTAGCATAAGTACATCTTGCATATTATTTGTAAATCCTACCTTCTTCATTCTGTTTTCTCTACTTTTTTAATGACTTAAGCAAAGTGGATGTAAAATGCTACCATTCTGATTTAGTAGCCTTTTACACTCATGTTGAATGAGTGTAAATGCCCAAGCAACAGGGCAAAAGAGAATCTGGCCTGTGTGTTTTCAAATCTAGGTTTTTGATACATCACATGATAAAGCGACGAGTCAGCTGTAAAGTTCAGATATAGAATTCAGGTTTACATGCCAGCTATTCTTCCAAGGATCAGGTTAAGCCTGATTTCAAGTTAACTGGATATAAATTAATTTAAATGTGTTAGAAAATACTTATAATCAGTTTGGAATAGTAGAGGCAGAAGCAGCAGCTGGAGTTGCCATTATTCCTCCTTTGTTGCAAAATGAGGAGAATGAGAATATTTGTTTGGGTGTTTCTGAATGGCTGAAAATAGTAAGCGAGTAATAATTGAGAGTAAGGCATGATTAGAATTAAATACTTCACAGGAAAGGAAAAGAGTAGGGTCATTTTAGCTGCTTGGTGGCTGTTGCACTCTAAGCAAAGAGATAAGCAGAACATTTACATTTTCCATGAAATCTCTATTTTCCATTGAAAAAACAGCTTTGAATGTTATACTGAGCGGGTCAAAGTGTTGGGTGTGTGGTTAGAAAGAATGGACTTTAAGCCAAGCTGTTTCAAGGACTTATTTCCAGGAATGAAGACTGACCTAAATTTGGATCCCCTGACTACCTTCATAGGTTTATTCAGTGATTTCTTCATTGTGGCAATTTTTTTTAAAGATTAAATGAAAAACTTATGGTCTATCAGCCCATCTTTCTGTACAAATATGTCACCAATAGTATGTTCCGAAAGGTGTTTGGGTAGTCATGAGAAACTTGATTGTAACAAATAAGATAGAAATTCAAAAGGTGAGAGTTATGTTGATCTCAGATCTTAGAGGAATCGTGAGCAGGTGCACCTGTAGTTGGTAGAGTAATATAACATTACAACAGCATATCTAATAGGTGGATAGTTAAGATTGCCTGAGTGCTTTCATTGTAAAGAGACCTTTTTTAGTTGCTGCTTCTTTTTGCAGATCATTTGGGCTGAAAATTTCCAGATCTCTTCTCTGCCCATGAGTGAATTGCTTAAAATGAGTTTGAGAAAAAACAGTTCAGCAATATCAAACACAAAGGGGAGAAGGAGGGGATAGTGGTATATATACTTTTGCCATTATAAAGAAATATTGTAACATTTATTCTGAACAGATCTAGTCTTTCATTAGTTAGCGCAGGAAATTGAAAATTTATACTGAGAGAGAACATGTTACTGGACTTCAAAAAGTCTGTTTTGATTTTTGCCAGTTACAATGAACAAATTATGTTTTTAAAACCTTATCTGTTACTTTTGGTCTCCTTACATTCTGTTTGCACTGCACATGAGTAGGGAAGTGATCTAACTGGCAAACTTAAACTCTGAAAAAGCATGTGGTTTCTTATTTATATGATAAAAAAGGAGCATATTGAATGAAGTACACTTGAGATATATGGATCTGTCTTATTTTTAGTCAAACTTTATTTGCAATTACAACAGTATAAATACGAATTTATGCTGGAGTAATTGCTATACTGTATTTGGTGGCACAGTGACCAAAACTAAGTGCAGTCAGTGAGTCGGGGATTAGGAGTTAGAGGAATAACAGGAGAAAATGAGGGAATGGGAAACTGAAGGCAGATAGAAGAAGGGGGAAAGAGCACCAGGCACAGAATATAATGAAGTAGAATAAAATAACACTGCACACAGAAGACTAAACTTCTTTAATTACATCATAAAAAGTTTGCTTTCAAAATGTTGTGATTAAACCATGAACTGTGTCTGTGTGTATGCTTTCC